TCTGAGGCCATATTTAAAATGTTCTGGCTCATATTGTATATAACATTGTATATAACAATATGCTAACAAACAGAAACAAAAAACAAAGCTAGAATGCAAATAAGACTACTTTGGATTTTTAGTTGAACTTTGACCTTCCACCAAACCCATCATTCAATAATTCACCATTGTGATTGGCTTCCTAATGTCATCCTCTATACTTGCATAAATTGGGTAACATTTTACCCTCCTTTAATTGTTGATAAACAGTTATAAAATGTTCTAACAACATTCAGGCCTTCGCAGGGGAAAAACTGTCAGGATTAAGCTGTTAAAGGCCTACTATGTTTTATGCAAGCAGCTCCTCCCTCTATGAGTAAAACTAAATTGGTATTTCTGTGTGTATATATTATTCAAAAAACACACAGATGAGGAAAACCTTGAAAAAGTTAAAGCTAACTGTGAAGAAAAGCTGCCAGCCATAAGACCTGTTGGGCAAGTACAGTATGCCTGCACATACGAAGTCAGCACTGTGGCCCTGATTGATGATCAGGGCAACACTGGGTGGTCAGCATTTGCAATAACAGGGGTGTAATGTGTGGCCAATGCTTTGAGGGACACTAAAATTAAGGAGGCCGCATGCCAAGGTAGTCTTTTTATTGTTTGAAATGAAAAGATTTAAGCATGCTGTTGTACAAAATCAGCCAGAACATTTTAAATATTGCCTCACAGACCTGACCGACATCCTGAGAAGACATTCTTAGCGTTAACAGCCTCTTCTATTATGTTCTTTTATAATTTAATTATGTTTTGGATTTTCTACAGGCCTGCTGCTCTTGAGAACCCAGTAAAATGTTCTTACCTTATGGCTTCATTGTCAGTGTTCTGCAGCCATAGCTCATACATTTATGTTAATTCTTAATATTATGGCCTTTTTATTGCCATTGGAAATATGCCATACAGTGGTGCTTGAAGTTTCTGAACCTTAGAATTTTCTTCACAAATACAACTCACTCAAAGTAGATCAAAAAAACCAAGTTCAACAAATAAGACAAAAATATTGTCCTTGGTCATTTTTCTTTGAGGAAAATTATGCAAAACTGTATATCTGAGTGGCAAAAGCCTGTGAACCTTTGCTTTTAGGATCTGATGTGAAACCCCTGCGTAGCAATAACTCCAAAAACTGTTGAATAGTCCTGCTCATTTACTTGGAGGAATCTTAGCCCATTCCTCTTTACAGAACAGCTTCAATTCTTGGATGTTGGCGGATTTCCTCACATGAACTGCTCGCTTCCTCATCCTTCCACAACATTTTGATCATTTTAAGGTCAGGACTTTTACTTGCCTGTTCCAAAACATTCTCTTTATTCTTCTTTTACCCTTCTTTGAAATAACGACTTGTGTGACCTATGTTCTCTTATTCAGGTCACAGAAAGATGTACTGACATTTTCCTTTAGATTTTGCTGTTAAAATTCAGAATTCATTGTTCCATCAACAAACCTTGGGTTCCTCTGTGACCTCACGGACTATTACACATCTTGCTCTTGGGATGATCTTTGTTTATGGAGGGTAGCAGTGGTCTTCACTTTTCTCCATTTGTACACAGTTTGTCTGACTGTGGATTGGTGGAGTCCAAACACTTTAGAGATAGTTTTGTAACCTTTTCCAGTCTGTTGAGCATCAACAACTCTTTTTCTGAGATCCTAAAAGCTCAAGTTCACATACTAAGTATAATCTTTTTTTCTTCTCTACTCTGTGTGACAATCTGAGTATGTTTTAGGTCATATTTGTGCAGAAATATAGAAAATTCTAAAGGGTTAAAAAACTTTTCGAGCACATTTGTCTTATATGTTGAATACATGTTTCAGATGTGTGACATAATGGGAGTGTTATATATTATCCACACTAGAGTGTATAACTGCATTTCATTTTACAATTCTGTTTTAATATGATGATTCAGTTTACCTTTTACCTTTAAATTGAGAAGAAAGATGTGAAACATCTCAGAATTGTGAGAGTAGCTGTGCTCTCCATGTTTTAGTCTAGACCAGACAGACTTTGGTCACCTATTTTTTCTTATTTAAGTCAAGTGGTAAAGGCTGCAATCACTTTTTGGCAAGTGGAAAACTACTTGTTATTGGGTGCGTTGGCCGCATTGGCCCTGCATTGGTTATTGGTATTTCAACAGGTTGAAAACACTGGGTGAGCTATAATCCGCCATAAGTAAAATATAACGCTAGTGAGGTGTGAATAGTAGTGAGGTGGAATCAGTTTTTTGGCAAGGGTAGAACTGAATTGGCTATGTGGGCTGTATTGGCCATTTAAATGTATTGCAACTGGTAAATAGGACTGATTGAGCAATACTTGTTGGCAAGTGCAATACTACAAACTACATATTTCAGCTGGTAAAAAGGTGGATTGATTGGCACAGAGCAAGCAAAATTAATGTCATAAGGATAATTGCAAGAGAGACACTTCCTTTATTTTATTTATAGACTAACTCAGCCATGAATCATAGGCCTACCAAACACAAATGTCATCTGCAACAATAGGCAAATTTTATTGCTTATAATAACGTTTGTCAGGCCTGAAAACTGCAAACACTTCAACTGTGATTATTCCATTACATGAAACATTAATGTTTCACAAAGACATACCTTTGCTACCACAGACAAAGTAATGCTTATTTGCACGTTATGACTGTTTGAGATAAAAACAGCTATAGATGTACAGATACAGGGCGTTACAGCTTTAACATGTTGCGCGCGCTCCCGCAGAGGGCAATCCATTTTCGGCTGATGATTACTTTTCGGCCCGACACCTGTCATCTGTCCAGCGCGATTCTGAAAGGAGGGGCTGTTTCTTTCTTTCTTCATCAATATGTTTGATTTGAAATTTGGCTTTCTACGACACCACCCAATTCGACTAGACATGTCAAACTCTTAACACTTCATCCGACTGACGGCGCACACTGATCCAACAGTTGGTGTTGGTTGAAGTCGTCAGTGTTTGTCGTGGCAGTGTGCAAGCAACATTAGGCAAGTTTTGAGGGAGCGTGCAGTTGGCATGCTGACTGCAGGAATGTCAACCAGAGCTGTTGCCCGTGAATTGAGTGTTCATTTCTCTACCATAAGCCGTCTCCAATGGCATTTCAGAGAATTTGGCAGAACATCCAACCGGCCTCACAACTGCAGACACCATCTGAACCAAATAAGTTTATCTTGGTCTCATCAGACCACAGGACGTGGTTCCAGTAAACCATGTCCTTAGTCTGCTTGTCTTCAGCAAACTGTTCAGCAAACTGCAGGCTTTCTTGTGCATCATCTTTAGAAGAGGCTTCCTTCTTGGATGATAGCCATGCAGACCAATTTGATGCAGTGTGCGGCGTATGGTCTGAGCACTGACAGGCTGACCCCCCACACCTTCAACCTCTGCAGCAATGCTGGCAACACTCATACATCTATTTCCCAAAGACAACCACTGGATATAACGCTGAGCATGTGCACTCAACTTCTTTGGTTGACAATGGTGAGGCCTGTTCTGAGTGGAACCTGTCCTGTTGAACCGCTGTATGGTCTTGGCCACCGTGCTGCAGTTCAGTTTCAGGGTCTTGGCAATCTTCTTATAGCCTAGGCCATCTTCATGTAGAGCAACCTTTCTTTTTTTCAGGTTCTCAGAGTTCTTTGCCGTGAGGTGCTTCCAGTGACCAGTATGAGGAAGTGTGAAAGCCAAATTTAACACACCTGCTCCCCATTCACACCTGAGACCTTGTAACACTAACGAGTCACATGACACCAGGGAGGGAAAATGACTAATTCGGCCCAATTTGGGCATTTTCACTTAGGGGTGTACTCACTTTTGTTATACTGTCTTGGGCATCCTGCGTGGTGTGGTAGACCCCAGCCTGTATTAATCTTGTACTGTGCCTGTTCTTGTGCCACCATGATTAGCGCTTCTGTGCTGTCCAAAGTCCAGCCTTTTCTTGCCACTGGTAGGATTTCTTGATATTAGCCACTTCTTCTATTTGTTGGTGGTATATGCTGTGCAGCGAAGGTCCATGAAGGTTGTTCCTCCTCATTGTCCTCACCCTCTGGTTTCTGCTGTCTTTACTATCATTTAGCCCTAGGTAGCCTTAGGTATTTTTCTGTGGCGGACTTCCTTGCTGCTTTTTCATGGTTTCTGTTAGCCTGCCGGACCCAGAGGTATTTGTAGCTGTCCTGAACATCTGCAATGTGGCCTTCTGGTTGTTCAACCCCCTCAGTTCTGATCGTTTTCCCTCTTTTTGATATCATCCGATCACACTTGTCCAGTCCGAACGACATTCCAATGTCGTTGCTGTAGATCCTTGTGTAGATCCTGGTACAAAATAAAGCTGATACAGCTTTATGTTGTCCGTGTATGGTTGTTCCACTTCGGAATCTGTGTCTGTAGCCAGTCTATGTGAAGATCTGGCTGGGGGGGTTCAGGCCTATGCAGAACAGCAGGCGGGATAGTGCATCGCCTTGGTGTATATCACTTGATGGTGACTTGTGCAATTGGCTTTGAGTTGGCTTCCAGAATTCCAGGTTGTTCTGCCTGTGTTTTGGGAGCTTGGGTAATAATTTTACCCACTCCCAAGGTGTAATCAATATGTTTGATTTGAAGGCACTTTACATAAAAGCATTGTTGAAACCTATAATTCATTACTCCAATCAATTATAGTCAATTATAGGCAGTTCAATCGCCGGCTCCTCCAGGCTGCATGTTGAAGTGTCCTTGGGCAAGATACTGAACCCCGAATTGCCCCTGGCGTCTGTTTCGCCAGTGTATGAATGTGTGTGAATGTTAGTTTCTGTTTGAGCACTTGAGCACAGGCTCAGTGTATAAAGTGTAAAAGCGATTTGAGTGGTTAGAAAGGTTATACAAGTACAGAGCATTTACAATCAAAAGCTGACATGCAAAAAAGCAACAAAAGCAAGATGTACCTTACAAAGGCCAAAATTCTTTAATTTTCCATAAATCTTTAATATATATTGAACAGGTCACTGTGACTCCAGCACCCTCTTTAGACTACACCCTCACTCCGCTCTCTGGTGACCAGTACACATCCTGTTTGTGTGGCAGTGAGCGCAAGACCCTCAGCTGGACCATGGCCCCCTCAGTCTTGGGTGAGGATCAAGCTTTTATCCACACTGGTGTCAAATGTTAAAGGGTTGCTGTCTTTCCTTTTCATCTCTATGAAATCAGTGAAATACACCTCAGTGACACTTTGACACACGACAGGATCTGAAGAAATTGTTACTCAAGTTTCACTCTGCTTGTTGATGTTTTTTAGGGGTTGTGAATGTGTCTGTGACGGCTGAGGCTGTGGCATCCCACACTTCATGTGACAATGAGATTGTGAGTGTTCCAGAGAGAGGACGTATCGACGTGGTCACACGATCTCTCATAGTAAAGGTTGGTACCTTAAAAACAAGATGACAAAGACAAGTTTATCCATTAACCATTATTTTTTGCATTTAATACAAGTTGGAAACTTTGGAAGTCATATTATTTCTTCTCAGGCTGAGGGAACTGAGATCACCAAGACCTACAACTTTCTGCTCTGCCCAAAAGGTCAGTATGTTTTACACCAGGCATGGCACGTCAAACGTTTACATAGAGAGCCAAATGCTATGTGTTAGGAGTCGAGTAGATAACAAAAATGTTATAGAGACGTTCACAACTCCCAGGTAGAAATTAGTTTCATTGTAATTATGTCAATTTGTTTCAGTACAGAGTTTCTCTCTGAAAGGTGTTTGTTCTGTCTGTACACAGGGGAAGCTGTGACAGAGGAAATAGACATCCAACTCCCCGAGAACATGATTGATGGATCTGCCCGTGCTTCACTTTCAGTCCTGGGTAAGATAATACATTTGTTTTAATCAGTGGTGTTTTCTCCCAGAGGCCAAGGGAAGCCAGGCTTCCCCTGTATTTATCATTTATGTATTTCAAGGTGCTTTCAGTGTCACTGATTAGCTCAGTTGGTAAGGTGCCGTACTTATAGTCTTAAGATTGTGAGTTTGATCCTCATGGAAGACCAATTTGTTTTAAAAATCTCTATATTCCTCCATATTCCTCTTCAACAAAGTTGTTATGAAGATGACTGATTCACATGCTCACAATTAAGCATTTGCTGGAGTGTGTGCGTCCCGGCCATTGGTCCACATTCATCAACCTATGGACTTTTCATTCCCCCATCATTCCCAGGCAGAGAAAATTCATCCGCTTCTCATTCAGGGGAATCCATTTAAGTACACATTTCCTGACGGCTATTTCAGAACCTTTGAAAAAGCCACCGGGAAATGTGTGTTTGGATTCCCCTGAATCTCTTCATAACAGTTTTGTTAAAGAGGATGATAAAAAAAACACACAAAAGAAGAATAAGAAACTTTGCTAAGAGCAGGAGTCAAACCTGCAATTCTTGGGATGCAAGTCCTGTGCTCTACTAACTGAGCTAACTACTGACTCAATGAGCTTCCACAAAATTATCATAAAGAAACGCACCTGCCGACCCCTGTATTAAGCTATGGTTCGTTATCTCGAGATCATGAGATAACTATCCCGTTATCATGGGAAAACTGTGATTAGTCAGGATGATGCCAAGGGAAGCCAGCCCCTGTCTGGCTTCACGCCAATCAAATCACAGCATGCAATCAACGTCATTCAGATGAAATAACGGGAGCTGTTAGCAACTTTAGCTGGTGCAGTTATGGAGGATGGAGATTTTGAGTTTTGAGTTATAAATAGTTTTACTAAACTACCACTACAGCAGCAGCTTAAGATCTGATGGAAGACCAATGCCAAAACTGGAGCTGCAACTGCAGAGGAAAAAGGAGTTCATGGTTTCTGTTAGCCTGCCGGACCCAGAGGTATTTGTAGCTGTCCTGAACATCTGCAATGTGGCCTTCTGGTTGTTCAACCCCCTCAGTTCTGATCGTTTTCCCTCTTTTTGATATCATCCGATCACACTTGTCCAGTCCGAACGACATTCCAATGTCGTTGCTGTAGATCCTTGTGTAGATCCTGGTACAAAATAAAGCTGATACAGCTTTATGTTGTCCGTGTATGGTTGTTCCACTTCGGAATCTGTGTCTGTAGCCAGTCTATGTGAAGATCTGGCTGGGGGGGTTCAGGCCTATGCAGAACAGCAGGCGGGATAGTGCATCGCCTTGGTGTATATCACTTGATGGTGACTTGTGCAATTGGCTTTGAGTTGGCTTCCAGAATTCCAGGTTGTTCTTAAGATCTGATGGAAGACCAATGCCAAAACTGGAGCTGCAACTGCAGAGGAAAAAGGAGTTTCGGACGTTCAATGAGGAAAACTATATCCATACAGAGTGGCTAGCTGGTAGCGCCAAACTTCGACTGACTCTGTTGTTGTGGAATAACTAAAAGCCAGTGCGAAATTCTATAACTTGGTAATTGACCACTTCGCCACCATGACAGACAGGAGAATGGCCTTCCTTTTCGAACAGGATGAGAGAAATGTTACCTCCTTCTCTCTCTGAACTTAACTGAACTGCAGCTATGTGTGCAATTTCTGATATGGTTATATTGTTTGTTTCGCTTGCCTGGATTTAGCTGCAAATGAATAGTCAGTTGAAGAAACCTTATTGTTTTTACTGCGGTCGTGTACGCATAGATAATGAGCACCACAGACAGCACCTGCCACAGTGCACTGGGCCAGGTTAGGCTACCTGAATAATTGTTTTTGCTCTGTTGGTCTGGTACTCTGTTGTTAGTCTTGAGTGATGTTGTGTTATGAACATTTGGTCAAGTATGTAGGCCTACTTGATACATGCACCACTGCCATTATGCACATGTCTTCATTGAGCTTGTGAATGCTTCTTTTATTCTTAACCGAATCCTATTTGTTCTGTGCACTATAAGCAGCGGGCTATGTATGCTATTTGGGGTGAGAGAGAGTGAGTGAGAGAGGGGGAGAGAGAGAGAGAGAGAGCGTACCTGTCAGTAAATGCAACTTTCAGCGTGTGTATTGATAACAGATTATACCCTGCACTGTAATAGCACAATACATTAGATAATTGCCCTCCAAAAAGGACAGCCCCTCTCAATTGGCAAATGTACCCCACCCCACGACACTGGTTTTAACTGACTGTTTTAAACATTTTGGCAAGTTAACAGGCTTTTCTCCATTAAACCATCGTAAGGGCATCAATAAAAAAAATGGATTTCTGTGGCTGGATTGTCCTTTTAAAGGTCACTTTTCACTTTGATGCCTTTGTTGTCAAACCATTGACAACAAACAGCTGAGCTCTCATGTCATACAAAGCAAATCTAAAGATCCCCTCCGTGTTTGAAGATGTAAAACGTGGCTTTTCAACAATAAAAGTGGTTAAAATCTTACATGTAATTAGATTATAGAATTAGATCTACCCTTATTGAAAAATCGAGAATCAATACATAAGTTATTATTTTTTAATTTAAATGTTTAACTGCTGGACACAAGATGTCTTCTACTTAACTGAAAATTTTATATTCTGAGGTTTATATTCTCATGCATCAGTTGCTGGAGTTACTGATCTAGGGATTATCTGATCTTGCTCTCTGAAACGGAAAACTCAGAGTTTCCCTCATCTCAGGCTTAACATACTCAGAATTTTCATAATCCTTCTTTCTGAAACGGGGCCCTGGTGGACTGGTGTGACACAAACAATCTAATCCTGAATGTCAACAAAACAAAAGAGATTGTTGTTGAGTTCAGGAAAAATCAGCCAAGTCACACTCCCCTCCTCATCAACAATGCCGCAATGAAGCGGGTTAGCAACATCAAATTCCTGGGGGTGCAGATCACAGTCACGTTGACCTGGTCCTTCCACACCTCTGCTCTTGTGAAGAGAGCACAGCAGCGCTGCACTTTCTACGTCGGATGAGAAGAGCAAACCTCCCCCCTCCCATCCTCATCACTTTCTACAGAGGGACAATAGAGAGCCTACTGACCAGCTGCATCTCTATCTGGTTTGGGGGCTGCAACACCTCAGACTTGAAATGTGTAGAGAGAGTTGAGGACAGCGGAGAGAATCATTGGGACAGCACTTACTTCCATTTATCCATTTTGTTCCATTCATTTTCCAATGCAGTTTAAACATGAACTTGTATTGTTAGAAATAGTACTTTGAACAAAGGTACAGCAAAATATATTAAAGTTTTGATCAATAAGAGTCAAATGTATAAAACTACGGAAAACATTTTTTAAATATCTGATTTATTATAAACTATAGAGGTCTACTAATGAACATTAAATAATGTATGTATTGTGGGGGCCAGTGAAACAAACTATAAAAAATACCAATATAGTAAAAAATAATAATAATAGCATATATCATCTCTTATGTCATTGCTATCATAATAATGATAAACAGGGCTCTCCTACATAGGCATATAATTGGTGTGAATGCTGTAAGCACTCACAACATATGTTCTTCTGACGTTTCGGAATTCTTTATTTTTCTTATTCCGCTCATTTTTTTGTAGTCTACCTAGTTCCACAGTTTTCAACGTAGAAACGTCATTCAAAGCTTAAAATATTCATCTCAATTAGGAATCGATTGCTATCATTCAGAATTTTGATAACCTTCATACTTTTAGAGATATTCAAAGTTTTCCAGGCATTTTTCCCCATTCAAGTGGACACTTTCCACATCTTTCATACATTTGTACTATTCAGCTGGGGGGAGCCGGTGCTGAGGGAGATGACCCTGGAGGTGTTTTTGCCAACCCGCACAGACTGGACTCTGTCTGTGAGGAAATCCAGCAGCCAGTTACACAGGGGGGTGTTGAGTCCAAGGGGGGCCAGTTTGCTCACCAGGTGCTGGGGGATGATTGTGTTGAGCTGAAGTCCAGAATCAGTATCCGCACGTAGGTATTGTTCTTCTCCAGGTGTTCCAGGCTCAGGTGGAGTGTGTTCATGACGGCGTCTCCTCCACACTCTGCATCCTCACTGTATTTGCAGCCTGTTTTCTAAATGCATGCGTTGTTAAACTGATTGCACAACACAGTCTCACTCCCTACTCGTCAAATGTCTGACGCATGGTCAAGGCCCTTTGTCGTTGCTTTTTAAAGACTTGGGTAGCCCTTTTGCATCAATTATTGACGTTTAGGGATCCACAGTCAAGTTAGCAACGCTTAGCAACAATAAATATGCAATATCCGGTTACACTTTCAAGATAAAACGTAACGTTTCGATACATTGCCATGTTGAAACGCGCATAATTAAAGTCGTGAAACGTTGCAGTTTCGTTAGGTTTAGGCACAGAAAGTACTTGGTTGGGTTTAGGCAACAAAACTACTTGGTTAAGGTTAGGAAAAGATCATGGTTTGGGTTAAAATAGCTATGTATGTCAATTAAGACTTAAGTTAACTAACGTTAATGTCAATTTACCTCACTCGCCTAAATAAAAACATTTAATGTTTTGTTTCGCCCGGGACACAAACCCTGTTCTCCTGCTTCAAGGTCCGGGTTCTGGCCCTCTATCCACCCCAATCACCTCCTTACTTCGTCTTTTCTCTTAAATATCATACTTGCCTTTACCATCAAAAACTGACACAACAGGGCTTCCCTCAATACGTCGAACTATGACGTCAAAGGGATCCCTAGTGCGTCACAAACTGACGATTATGGCTCTTGACCAAGCGTCCATATGTGACGACTTGGGAGTGAGAACGAGTTGGATTGCAGGGTCTTAGTGAGTCAGTGTTCTTGAGCAGGTGACATTCTGGGCCGAGCCCTGAAGAACCTGGATGGGCTGCTGAAGATGCCGTATGGATGTGGAGAGCAGAACATGGCGCTCCTGGCCCCCAACATTTACATCCTCCAGTACCTGGAAAACACACAGCAGCTGACCGCAGCCATCAAGGAGAAGGCTACCAACTTCCTGACCAGTGGTGAGTCTCTGCTAACTTTATATTACAGAATAAAAGGAACATTTAAGATCTTAAAATATGCTACATCTACCATCTGTAACAGTCTGTGACTGTGAATTTTGAACAAAGTTCACAGTCCCAAAAAATAAACAAGTTCATGTTTTTGTCTTTTGTGAAACGCTGTTAGTTTGATTTGGGTGGAGGAACTTGGCGGCTGTTCGCTCGTCTTACACTTGAATGCACTCTTTTAGCACGTTTATGCACAACACTGCGCCCCTGAGCTTGGTTACATGTTTTTCCTTTTTCTCTCCCCTCATTCAAACTTACATAGACATTAAGAACAAATTTACTTCTGATAATAAACTGTGTTTCTCAAATATAAATTAATAAATAGATTTTCTTTGTCTTTCCATTTCAACTGACATACATACCCATTATAAACAAATTTACCTCCGATAATAAACTTGTCAAAAATCCTTTAAAATCTGAGTGTGTCCTTAATGCCCTAATAAACGTGTTTCTCTTGTTTTACAGGCTACCAGAGACAGCTGAACTACAAACATGGTGACGGTGCTTACAGCACATTTGGATCAGGACCGGGGAACACTTGGTGAGCACATCACTGATTAATCATCCATGAAGAATAATTGTATGTACACGGTGGGCACCAGTAACAAACTGATGCATTTTAATTTGCAAATAGAAACATACCTATCAAACAAATACACAACATATTACTACTACATCATGCTTCAGAAAGAAAGAAAGTTTGTTTGTTAGGTTTTGGCAGGAAGTTAGCTCTATGCTGAGTACTGCAAACATTTTCATGTTATCGAAAATGTGATTTCTTCACAGTAGGACCACCAGTGTGCAATGTGAACACACACAAGCATATGCCTAAGTATTTCTAATTAATGTATTAATTAGGTTAGCTAATGACCTGAAGCATACACAGATCAAGTGCTTCCTCTTCACTTCATTGTATCAGTTATTGTTTGACCTTGTTTTAATATCCTCAGGCTGACTGCTTTTGTGCTGAGATCTTTTGCCAAAGCACAGTCTTTCATCTACATTGACCCAACAAAGCTTGCTGAGTCTAAGTCTTGGCTGGATGATAAACAACGAGAAAATGGCTGTTTCCAGCAGCTGGGAAAACTCTTCAACAACAGAATGAAGGTCAGTCTCTGTAGAGATTGTATGAAAATGGCTGATAACTGAAAGTGAAGAAGGTTAGACATTAATTTTCACTGCACCATCAGCACCCCTTTTATTCATCCCTCAGTCATAACTAATGCCAGCCTGGGACCCATCAAGGTTATTATGGTTAACGAAGATGAGCAAAATAACGTAACGACTGTCAATCTCACAGTCGAAACTTCGCAACTACAAAAGGATCATGCCATTTTGGCGATAGGGGGGCTCAATGTCTGATTTTACATAGAACTACCAGTTAATATACAGCCTATTACAATATACATTTCAACGTTTAATGCAGTAAATAAACATGTAAAAAGAATACAACTTTTAATAAATGTTTTTAAAGTGTGTAAATAAATCCAAAATTGTAACCCTAACCCTGGGTCGGTGACCGGTGAACGGCAGGCGAGAGAGAGAGAGAGAGAGAGAGAGAGAGAGAGAGAGAGAGAGAGAGCAAAAATGGTCAACAATAAGCCTCAGTTTAGCTTCGGCTCGCAATCCCCATGCACAAAAACACACATGATTCGACTATCAGTCGACTATAGGCAGGACTTAACGATTCTGATTAGACTATGTAAATGCGTAGTCGGGGACAGCCCTAAAGCCCACATTTCGAGTGGATATGAAGCCGGTGGAACTGACGTTGCGGGGAAGTTGGTCTGACCGGACCTCTGGGCCAGACCGCAGTTGAGTTCAGGGGTGTGCGCGGTGATTAACCGATAGGCACCTGTTGGTGAAATGCGGGTGTGTTATGCTTTTGTCCTCCGTGTGAAGAGCTGGCATGCTGCCAGGGCGGCGACCGCTGTTACGAAGAGAGCTGCATGTAACGTTAGAGGGAGGCTAACTTAGTCAGGGAGAACCAGGTGGGGATTGGCTGCGTAGTTGGTGGGATTTGAACATGTTTTCTATTATCTTTTATACATACATGTGTACAAAATGAGCTTGTCTCTAGTACATTGACTGTGAGCTCCCCTTGCGCTGGGCTGACGTGCCTGCTGGTCATTATTGCATGTCAGCTAGTGTGTGTTTTATGGGCTCATTGAAATCTCTGCCAGCCTGTCTCTTTGTGCTTCACTTTGTATCGATTTTTTGATTAATAAAGTTTTAGATTTTAATATAACTGCTTTCCAGTCATACTTGCCTTCAGGGTGCTAGGGACCTGTTGTTTGTGGCTCCAAGGGGGCCTCCACTATCTTCCAATTTCTTAGCTGTCACATCAATTGTATTTCACCTCCATTTATTGTATTTCACCTGTTTAACCATGAATGATAGAGCTAGAGACTGATGTAATGAATTTCTTGGGACCGCTGGGTAGTATGATTAGTGTAGTTTAGCTCTTAGGGTTTTCTGTATGTAGGTCTGAAATTATACTGTAGATTGCGTGTGCTTCATTTATTTGTAGTATTTATTTAGACAAAGTGTTAGTACTTCAAATATTTATATATATTTGCTTAGTGTTTGTACAAGCTACAGATAGCTTAAAAAAATGGTGTCCCATTTCACAAATCTGCATTATTTCTAATGACTGTACTTGTATGGAGTGTATGAACTGGACTGAACTAAACTGAACTGAGCTTGGCATCGTGCAGCCACAAGACTAAAACTAACACTAAAACTAATAAAAACTAAAACTAACCATTTTCAAAAAATAAACTAAACTAACAAACCCACGTTAAAAACTAATTCTTAAATGATTGTAACGTCTGCATGATGCTTCCTCTCTACAGGGTGGTGTGTCTGATGAAGTGACTCTCAGTGCTTACATCACTGCTGCCTACTTGGAGATGAATGTGTCCCTAAATGTGAGTAGACTCCTTGCAGTACAAAAATCTTATGCCGTATTAACTGTAAACTGGAAAGGATATCCTTTACAAGACACACACCAACACACATACACAGACAATAAGGAAGAAGAGGTTTTTATACATTTAACTGGCTTTTGTAAATAAATGTACATGTACTTTATATCACAGTGTTTTTCCAACCATTACTATCTAAGTAGGAGGTTCAAAATTCATTCATTTACTATCATCATTGGGGGCATTGGTCAGAATGCATAGAAGTAAGCCAGAAAACTTGTAATATCCTCTGAACAACGTTTTATTTCGTCCAATTTAAAGGTTGCATTTGTCAACATAATCAGGGAAAAAAGACACACGTAAGTTAGAAACGAACACGTAAGAAACCATACATAAGTTTAGAAACTAAACTCACATGTCCATCTCAAGGAAATAAGGAAAGAAACATCTAAGCTAAGTTTTTCATAAACATGGACATACACACTAAAAACTCCTGGGTTATTTCTTCAACCCATTTTCTGGGTGTCATAACCCGGCTCAAAGGCCATGACAAATGCGGAGAGGACACGGGGGATTGCCAAAAGTAAACATATTTATTGTAACAACTTATACAACTAAACTAATAATCAACGATGTAGAGTGTGTTAGTCCGTGAAATCAGTGGTGTAGATGTGGATGAGTGACAAGTATGGAGCTTGGGTGTTGAGGAGTCGTAACAAACATAGTGTAGAAAAACAAAGGAGTGCTGCTGCTGCTGCTGGCAGGAGTTGGACCAGATCAGAGAGAGCGCGAGAGCAAAAGGGCCGGAGTATTTATCCTCCCACAGCGTCTGGCCCAGGTGCTCCCATTCTGGTTTACGGGCGCTGATACCTTCAGGAGAACAGTAAACTGCCCAACACCACACAGTTAAACATCCAACTAGGCAGGGCTGTCACACTGGGTTAGTTGTGTTGGGTTAAAATTATGGTTTATTTTTTCAGAGAGTAACCATTTTCTGGTTATGTAATATTTTGACCCAATTCCAGGGTTGCTTGGGTTTCTGGGGTATTTTTCAAAGAGTAATCCATGTGCTGGATTATAGGGTTGGCTTTCTCTCTCTCAAATTCAAATTTGCTTTATTGGCATGAATGTATAGCAACCACCCCGCAATTTTCTCAAAACAGTTGTTTGAAATAATCGTCGCTTGGCGCTCGATCTGTTTTGGCCTGTGCTTCTTCGGTGCAACTTCGTCGTGTTGATGTAACATAAACTTTTCTGTGTCAATGTCCCCGTTGCTATTTTAGCACCATTTGCTGAAAAAATTACCATGGCTTAGTTGCTACGTTGAGACTAGCGTTAGCCATGGTAATTCTGTGGTTGCCATGTACGTGTAACTAGTTTAAAGTCCGTGTAAAGTCACACATCACATGACACAACCAATGTTTGAAGACTTTAAGCCTTAAGTTCAATCCAGTTATTTTTTATATACAGTTTAATTTAATTTAATGCAAAAAAAGTAAACGTGCTTGAAGTGTGTAATGTGTGTGTTTTCCAGCCACTCATCTGTTTCAATGGTTTCTGTCATTTAGTTCATCTGCATCACCTGTGTTTAGTTAATTACCATCATCATCATCTGTTCCACCTGTGTTCTGTTAATCAATGTTCTTTGAAAGCGGGAGCCAATCAGTGTTGAGAAGAGACGAAAGGAAGTGAGGTAGGTGAAAGGAAGTGAATAAAAATAGAGATAAATTGGGGATCTTTACTACAATTAGAACCTATGCATTCCTGGTAAAATGCTCCATCAAGTTACTGCCAGCTTCACATAAAAAGCATTTAACTGGGAAACACAAATTGACTTTTATTTTAAAGCAGTCACAGGAAATGCAATGTTTGTGAGTGAGATTAGCGCTATCGTTTATCAAAAATGCGTCTACAAAACAGGACAACGGTCATTTTCAACAGTTTTCTGACAGCGGACCAGTTTGAGAAATTGCAGAGATATAACAGTCAGGAGCAGACACAGTGAGCTGTTAGACAAAGAGCTACAGGCGACAGGCTGCACACCTCCACCTCTACCTGCCAGGTAACTGACTCCTTTCGCTGTCTGCAGACATCTCTTGTGCAGAACAAAGTCAGATTGTGACTGCTCACATAATTATGGAAAAAGACCAATTATTGCTTGATGATAGTTTCTTTAGCTGCCCCACACTTCTGTGACCTGTACAATAGCGTAAGTTAATAACAACGGGCCCCGGTGGAGGCTGTTATGATGGGCCCTTCGGCTCCACAGTTCCTAAGCACACGCTCTCTCTCACACACACACACGCACACACACACACACACACACACACACACACACACACACACACACACACACACACACACACACACACACACACACACGTGTGTCTAGAAGGGAACCCTATTACTGGCAATTTTTTTTGCCTTGTTTCCTCATTGTGCAGGGTTTAATAACTGATAAGATTATATGCAGTTAATACCTAACCTACTTAAATCAAATTAGCTTCTTGCATATTTGCATAGTCGACTTGAACATAAATTATTATCATCAGCATAATTTCACTGTGCAGACTCAAATAAAAATCACAGATTATTATTAGCTATCATTTACACTGGGGGCGCTGGGGCCATGTCCCCACCACATCTTGAAATGGCTGATTTTGTCCCACTTACTTTTTGAAAGCATTTGTTAAAAATGTTTGAAAGATAGCTTGCACCAAGAAATGTTACCTAACAAGTGAAAATGCTTTGGTAGGTTTATTTGCACAGCAACAAAACATGTAATGCATTTTAAATATAGAAGAAACAAATGTGCGTTGGCCATAAAAAGTAACTTAACCTAAAAAAAACAAGAACCTGATTGCTGCGTTATATTTTATTTATGAACCGTCACTTGCCAGCTGAATTTTGTGTTTTTGGTTCCCTTTATATAAATAAAAACACTTTGACTGTAGATTGGAGCAAAAATGTCAGGAAATTAAGTTTTTAAGGCTCAATTTTCTGGGGGAGGACCACCTGACCCACCACTCATGTATTTCTCCATCTCAAAATAGTGTTAAAAATCCCACCTCATGACCCAAGAGTATTATCACCCTCCTTATCTAAGTTTAATGTGGGAAGAACGATTCATTAGTGACTACCCTAATCAGCACCACAGTTTAATGTGCATAGATGTAAGCTCAAATATTTGTCGAGATTTTTCAAAAGATACGTGAGAGACAGGGACCAAGAGAGGAAGGGGGCCCACAGAGACTGGTTCTATATATGGCCCATAAATTTGTGCAGGAGGTAAAGAGCGGAACACGGCTAAGGAGGTGCAAAGGGAAGGCCCCAAGTCTCAGACTTTGAAAACCCCTGTACTCTCTCCATACTCCCCGGCTGTAGGTTATGTAGCAAAATTGTAAAAATACACTGCGGCATTAATTTTGATATCTATAGCATAGCACCACAGATCCTGTGAAGTGTATTTAGTGTATTTTTAATATTTTTACTGTTTGTGATTAGGCCGTCGTCTAACTAAAATCCCCAAAGACCAAGGATACGCTCACTAATTTTAGAAGGAAATCTTCCATACTACCATCTCAGACCTTCATTAAAGTAATTGCCATTGAATCTGCAGAACATTATAAATATCTTGGAACAGTCAGTTTCTATGATTGCATGGCATGGTAACCTGAACATTAGGGACAATTTTTTTTAATGAAAATTCTAAAGCACATAGGTCACTTGATAGGCACATGGTCTTGGTATTGTAACGCCGTTAGCAGTAAAAATAAGAGTGTTTTCCATCAGGGCAGTAAAATGTGAAGTCTGAGCTTCCATGCTGTACCGGTTTATTGCCAATAACATTTCTGGCCACCTAGCAAAGCCAAAACACAGAGCTGGAGAAGAACTACGCTACATTCTACCAGGGCAGAAATAGCTGTCTGATCTGAGCTTCCTTGCTGTAGGCTACCGTTTTACTGCCAATAATATGATCAGCTGATTGTCTCATGAACGTAAGCGTAAGCAGACCGGTCGCTCCTCGATCTCCTGACCCCGTACGCTCCACCGCCACACTCGCTCTCCCTCTCTGTTACGGGTTGTGTCGCTAAGCGCTATGAACGGTTTGTGATCGTTCCCTCTGGCTGGATGAATATTATGCATGATCCATGCACTACTGCAGCTGGGGGCTCTCTGCAGCGCCATGCAAATTTCTAAATTCTTACCTTTCACAGAGAAAAGAAAGGTCAGGTCAAAAACGCAGCCGTTGTGTCAAGTGTAATTGTAGAAAAATGGCTATATATGGTAGTAATAATAATAACCTAATTATTATTATAATAAGACTTACATGCCTGATTTTTTCAGCCCCAGACCTACATGCTACATTTCTTGAAATTTTGCCTCTTTCTTGAAACTCTAAACACAAATCCACAACTTCTCATCCAAGTCAAACATCCTATTTTCAGATCATAATGAAGCTCTCCACTCAATCTTGCTGAAAAACCAAACTTTGCCCTCAACATGACCTCGAAAACACACACACACTACAAGACTGTTTTACACACTGGTGAGAGAAATTCAACAATACCACAAAAAGAAGGGGAACGAGACACTGCGTAGGTTTCGACACTATGGGAACGCCTCTAGGCGTAGCAGGTCTGAACGTGAATGAAATCACACCAATCCTATTGGTTTGTTGCTAGAACGGTAAGGTGTGACGGAATAACCGGAGGAGTATAAAGCACACCTGTACACACTCATCATTAGCTTAAACTATGAAGCAGGTGCTTCAGGCGGGGAGAGAGGTGCGGCGGGCCGACGCAGTTCGAGTTCCCTCGAAGGGGAACGAGACACTGCGTTGGCCCGTGGTTACGACACTATGGGAATGAGATACCCACTAAACCGTGCCGAAAACCCCGCCTGCCCCTGTGTGCAATAAAGTGGCACAACTAAGAGGAGAGCGCACGAGTGCAAGGTGCCGAAGGAAGGTCAAGACTGTAAACCGAATGAATGTGTGCGGAGTGGCCCAGCCAGCCGCTACACAAACATCCTGCAAAGAGGCCCCTGAAAGGAGGGCTCGAGAGGCCGCCATGCCTCTGGTAGAATGAGCCCTCACAGCCACAGGTGAAGGCAAACCGCGCACCTGATAGGCCAGGGAAATAGTCTGAACAATCCAGTTGCTAATAGTATGTTTGGGTGCAGGGAGCCCAGCCCTGGGGGACCCAAAATACACTAGCAGCTGGTCAGCCTTCCTCCAACAGGAGGACCTCAGAGTGTAAATACTCTGACGGATGAAGTCTCCCGTCCTCCGCCGTCACATGAGGTGGAGGATGAAATGCCTGCAGCACTGTGGACCCTGCCACACAAGAAGGCACTTTAGGGATGTATCCTGGACGAGGGTGCAGGATAGCCCTAATATTCCCCGGGGCAAACTCCAGGCTTTGCGGGGAAACCGAAAGCGCTTGGAGATCCCCCACCCTCCTCAGAGAGGTGATAGCAAGGAGAAAGGCCATCTTGAGGGTCAAGTGCTTAGCCTCAGCTGACTCCAGGGGGTTCGAAGGGGGCCTCAGCCAACGCCCCAAGAACCACCGCCAGATCCCGAGTGGGAACCTTGGACCGAGTCGCAGGTCTCATCCTCCGGGCACCACGGAGGATCCGTGTGGACGGGGCCCTGGAGCTGAGGAGGGTCATGACTGCTCCGGCTGTTAGACCCGCCTCTAGGTACTGTGCCCCCTCAGGGGCCAGACACACAGTCGCCATACAGCGGGGCAAGGGTGAAGAACCCGGCCCTGCGCCTGGGACAGCAGGTCTCTCCTCAGAGGGAGACACAAGGAACCACACCTGGGTTGGCCAGAACAGGGCTACGAGCAGTAGGCCGACATTTTCCTGGCGGACCCGCTCCAGAAAAAAAAAAAGTGTACAGACGAAGCCTCAGCCACGAATGTACAGTAGTGCGTAGTCTCTTGAGAGGCAAACAGATCCACGTCTATGGGGCCGAACTCTCTGCACAAGAGCTCCACCACTTCGGGGGGAAGTCTCCATTCCCCGGGCCTCAGCCCCTGCCTCGACAGCAGGTCTGCTCCCTGATTCTGCGTCCCCGGGAGATACATCGCCCTGAGCGATAGTAACCTCTGCTGGGACCACAGGAGGATCTGACGCGCCAGTCTGTACTAAGGGCGCGAGTGCAGACCACCCTGGTGATTCAGATAGGCCACCACCGCTGTGTTGTCGGAACGAACCAGGACGTGATGGCCTTGGAGATCAGCCTGGAACACCGCCAACATCTTGAGACAGTTGATATGCCACTCGGACTGATGCACCTGCCAGGATCCCCTTGCAAAGCGGCCGCCCATGACCGCGCCCCAACCCGTGAGGGAGGCGTCTGTTGAAATGACCAGCTGGCAACAAGACCCTCCCAGCACGGGCCCCTAGGACAGGAACCAAGTTGCCGGTTTTCCAGTTTTCAGCGTCTCCGGATCCAAACCGCGAATGGGAGAAGCCGAGAAACGGGCTCCCGAACGAGGAAAGGAAGCATCGGAGCCAGCGGATGAAGGTCGGGAAAAAGCCTCAGCCGTCCCGAAATCCTCCGACAGATCACGCTGTGAACCTCATGAGTGAAACCGCCGGGCCGCCTCAGCGGCCGCAGGGCCCACACCACGGGGAGAACACATCTGGCCATCCTCGGAAAAGAGAGCCATGCTGTACCTCAGTACCCGCATGGTGTGGGCTTTGCAACGGGCGCAGACAGCCCCCTCGAGAGCTGCCGGCCGTGCTCCATCCCCAAACATGAGACACACATCTCATGAGAATCTCCATCTGTGATGTACCGAGGGCAAGGAAAAACACACCTTCTGTACATCTGGTTGCCGGACATGCTGGTAGACTTCTTCTTCAGGTAAGACACACTGCTTGTAGGACTGGAGCTTTCTTCAAACAACATACAGAGCGCCTGCTGAATAGAAAAAAGCTAATGATGAGTGTGTACAGGTGTGCTTTATACTCCTCTGGTTATTCCGTCACACCTTACCGTTCTAGCAACAAACCAATAGGATTGGAGTGATTTCATTCACGTTCAGACCTGCTACGCCTAGAGGCGTTCCCATAGTGTCGTAACCGACGCAGTTCGAGTTCCCTCGAAGGGGAACTGGTTATTATTAATGTTGCTTGTGTTTCTCCCCCTCAGAAACCGTTTCACATGATGAACACAAAAGAAAAAACAAATGTAAACATTTGCACATTTCTTATTGGGCTGTACGGTACAACACACCAAACAACTAATTATTCTGCCCCAGCATCCTGTCTTTGGTCTGGGACAGGCCAGAGATTCTTGTTCTCCACCTCCTTCACCACCTCCTCCTCCTCCCTACTCCTGCTCCACCTCCTAATCTTCCACCTATCCCATCTCCTCCTCTGACTCCGACTGTTCCTCTTCCTTCACCTCTTACTCCTATCTATACTCCTCTTCCTCCTCATGTCCTACACCTTTCTCTTCAGATTTCTCTGGATCCAACTGACTCTGGTCCTTTTATCTTTCTACTGAAGCTTCTGATTGGTGTTTTATCAATTTTGACTCCTTGTGTTTCCACCTGGGTAGCTGTGTGCTAATTTAGCTCACCCTGTGCTGATCGAGTGAACAATATTTAATGTTAGTGTTTTCTCAATGATCACATGGTAAAAAGTAATGTAACTAGTTGTGTTTTGTCCATTTTTCCATTAAAAACCGCTGTGCCATGTTACAGGGCTCTACGTCTGACTCACATGTTTAAATGATCAAAGACAAGGCTTGCGCTGCTCGTTTCCTCTTTTCTCATTTATTTAAAACAAAACAAACAAAAAAGCTGTCAAACATGAGGTCAAAGACTGTGTCGGTCCTCTCTTCTTAGTGTCTGCCCGTAGGTTCAGACCCAAAAGACCTAATCTAAGTTAATCAGTAAGGTTAATCAGAACAGCTAAATTAATAAACAATTAATAAATCCAAATGACTATTCTAAAAATAAATCATCTATATTATAAAATAATTAAACAAAAAATTTGCTCCAACAAGTAGTGTAACTAATTACTCTCAACAATCTAGTAAAGTAAGGCATTACTTTAAAAAAAAAAAAAAAAGTAACTAGTAATGTGTAATCCATTACCTTTTTTGAGTAACTACCCCAACACTGGTCCCGACCTGTACACAGACTAAACAAAGGGCTACTTTTCTTCTGAAAGTTGCGCTGTTGTTTAGTATTGCCTCCAAGTTCTTTGTCTAACATTTCCCTGAATTTAAGAATTTGTTTGTCTAATTAATGTCTCTCATAAAATAGAATAAACTTGCTTGTTAAGCTCAATAAAATCAGTTGATTCCTGAGATCATTTATTATAATGTGTTCTTTGAATCTGTTATAGGATCCTGTGGTGAAGAAGAGCCTGTCTTGTCTCAGGGAGTCCATCAGTGACCTCAGCAACACCTACACTACAGCTCTGCTGGCGTACGTCTTCACCCTGGCAGGAGAAACGGAGACCCGTGCTCACCTTCTGAAGCACCTGGACACTGTTGCATCAAACCAAGGTGAGTCATCATCCTAAAGGAAATCCTTCTGGCTTCATTCCTGTGAATGTGGCTCACCCTGTGCCTGTTTGTCTGTTTGTGGATGGCTGTTTTTAGGAGGTTTCCTCTACTGGTCTCAGACAGCGACAGAAACGTCAGCCTCTCTGTCTGTGGAGATCAGCTCCTATGTGCTGCTGGCCAAACTCAGCGGCTCTCCCACTGCTGAAGACCTGGGCGCCGCCACCAACATCGTCAGATGGCTGACGGGCCAGCAGAACTATTATGGAGGCTTCTCCTCTACACAGGTACAGCCCAGACAGCTGGACTTCACAGTAAATGTACAGTATTCTCTTCTGGCCTGTTCATCCTACAAAGAAGGAGCAGTTAAGTTAAGAAGTTAAGAAGTCTATGGCTTAGCTGTGACCTAATACTGAACTGGCTGTCTTGTAAAAACCATGTATCTCTAAAATGCCAACTTTTCGTTAGCTAAGTAAAACAGTATTGTCATCTTTGCAACAATTTATTTTCCAGCATATAATGGGCTTTTAAATGATTTATTCAGCTGATGAAGTAAGATCATTTTCTCAACCTATAAATGAATACTAAATCCTTAAATTTATTAAAGATAATCCATGGTTTCACCACGCAATGAAATTACACAATATCTCAACAATATGTCTGTTTCCAACATAAGGACTTCAGCATTGTTCTAGCCCATTAACTGCAAATCACACACAGCATACTGGCCTGTTTAAAATGTTACTGTTCTTCCCTTAGAGACAGCCAGTATTTGTTTCTCTGTGGAAATTGACATTGAGAGGTCTGCACTTTATAAATGTTAATTCCTACATGTAAAATTCCTTAATGTATAAACCAAAGTCACCGTTTCCATTTGTATCCAAGCCCATAAAGTAACTGTCGTGTTGTGTGTCGTAGGACACGGTGGTGGCTCTCCAGGCTCTGGCTCTCTACGCCACTGCAGTGTTCAGTCCAGAGGGTTCCAGCACAGTGACAGTCCAGTCTCCCAGTGGCCAGCTGACATTTGATGTGAATCAGAACAACAAACTGCTCTACCAGGAGAAGCTGCTGCAGGAAGTGACAGGAAAGTACAGCCTGGAGGTGAAGGGCTCTGCATGTGCGTCAGTGCAGGTCAGTGATCACTGTCACTGCAGCACTTCCTGTTTCTTTGATATACATACACCACCACAAACACAACACTGCTAACACAAACCCTGTCCTAATGTTAGCATCCCAGCAGACATACAAAAACTTTAGACCCACCATACCTCCAGTTTAAAGGGTTGGTTGGTTTATTTCAAGGTGGTTTCTTTTTCCAAATAAAGGATGAAATCTAAATATTAAAATTATTATAAAATCATTTTGTTAAAGATTGGAAGATATTTAAGTGGGGGGCTAAAATTAAGGACTAATACTTAACCCCCCTTGTTCACTTCTTCCTTACCCTCTTGTGTACCTGTTTCCCAGATCTCTCTTCACTATAACATCCCAACTCCTGCTGATGTCACCACTCTCAGTGTGGAGGTCAAACCAGAGGCCGACTGCACATCTCTCAGACCCAAACTCACTCTGAAGCTAAAGTCCCTGTAAGTAATCAACAACACTAGATCCGTGTTACAGCAATGATTGAGGAATACTGTAATTTATGACAAACAATCCTCTGAATCTACCAGCTACTGTAGACTGTTGGTGGATGGACATGTGAGAAATGATTACTGGTATATTTGTATATGTATTCTGGTATATATAAACATCTCTTTACTGTAAATGAAGGCTTTCTGTCTCTGCATTCAACTACTAGAACTATGAAGAACAGGATGAAGTCTGAGTAACGTCACATTTTTCTGCATTGCAGATATAGTGGAACAGCAAGCACTACAAACATGGTGATCCTGGACATCAAAATGCTCTCTGGCTTTGTCCCAGACCCAGAGTCTTTGAGGAGGGTGAGTTATTACAGTGACTTTAACCTGAGTAGGAAATGAATAGTGTTCAATAAACGACCCAGCTGAATGTGGTCTCCTCACAGCTCAAAGGTGCCCTGCTGGTGGATCGTGTTGAAGAAAAGGAAGATCACGTTCTGGTGTACATAAGGGAGGTGAGAGGGATTCACAGTGAGGAACAATAGATGATGCTCTCCAGATTTGTGACTGACGTGTCGTCTGTTTTTATTCTAACAGTTAACAAAGGACATAGCTATCAACCACAGCTTAGACCTCCTACAGGAGGTCACAGTGCAGAACCTGAAGCCAGCCGTGGTCAAGATCTATGACTACTACCAGCCAAGTAAGTCAGATACTCAGTCCTCTCTAATGCTCATTTACAGAGACCACACTGACAAACTCTGCACCTTAGCAGAGCTGCACAACAACACCACAGTCATTGGAATAGTAATTGTTAGTACTGCATGTTTTAAAATGTGTTGAACATATGAACATATTTCATTCTTTTTTTTGTTTTATAAATTTGTCTTCTACTTCTTGTTTTTCCTCTCAGGTGACCAGGCTGAGACAGAATATATCTACACTTGTGCTGCAGGTAGCCGTCTGGAATAATATACACAAGCCGTTTCTTACAGTTATTTAATGACCAAAAAAAATTAAAACATTTGGAAATTAGTAATGTGCCAATTTTGTAACCTTAAACCAAATTCATCAAACTAACAGCTGCTGAGATTTTAAGTCTTCACGTTGAATTATACATTTTTAAAATGTATTCTTTTGCAGCTTGAAGAGTGAAGTGTGGTCAGTCCTCAGGTCGTCACTGATTCCAGTATAATATTGAAAGACATGCTTTTTATTAAAGAGATTTCTATGTGCCTTGTGTAACTTTAGACTGTTTGTATAGACGTACACAAACATTTACATGTATTTACTTGTTAATATTCTGCCACTATACCTTACAGCTGTGTAACTACTGTTGGGGCTTTTCTCATTTCATAGATTGTACCCCCTCAACTTTCTCTCCTCGTATCTTTGTCCCTCTCCTGAAATGGGAGCGAAAGAGTCGAGGAGGGAAGAGTCAAGACAACAAAGGTTTAACAAAATGAGCTGTCCTTGCCTCGGCGCTCTCATTTTAAAGCGATGTCAGTTAAATATGACATATTGCACAGCTGCATCATCTGTGCTTTGTGTTGTTAAAACCTGCCGCTATGATCTGTCTCAGATGAACAAACCACTTGTGGTACCAATACACAAAGGCTACAGATAATATTACAATTCACATATTCACAATCCAGAAACATGTCTGTCAACATTATGACATGCCGAAACATCTTGGTTCAGGGGCGGACTAGCCAATCAAGAGAACCGGGCCAAATCCCAGTGGCCTGCGGGCTAATTTGGTGATTAGTGCTTGTTTTATGTATTTCTACTATGATTAATTAGGCTATGTAGTTAAATTGTTTATTTTTTTGTCTGTTTTAACTGGGTTTATTGTTGACATACGATCGGGATCGGGAGTCTGTACAGGGTATTTTATTTTGAAAATTGACCGGATTCGCCATTTCCCAGGGGAGGCCCGCTGTCTCAGACTTTGAAAACCCCTGCCATAGACTGTATGTAAAAAGGTTAGTCCACAAAAAGTAACGGTTTGGTGTTTGTGTGAACAAGGTGGGGTTGAGTCAAATTCCCGGCCTGATTTCTTGTGTCAGTCCGCCCCTGTCTCGGTTTCAATAAAAAATTATCGCATATGTTGAAAACAGACACAGGTTACAGTAACTTTTTTGGCAGTGCTCATTTTGCCTGTAATACAGGAGATCAGCCCTCAGTTTGATGAGGGTGACTGGTTTATCATCAGTCCCTGTAAGAAATGACACAAAAAAATTAATCTCAAATAGCCTGCAGTCAAAATTAAAACTTTCATCACAGGACTATACTTTTGGAAGGACTAGCCTACACAATGGGCGCTATTGTTACTATAGGCTATGACAACATGAAACACAGCAGGTTAGCACTGAATGCAGAGGACGCTCTGGTTGATATTACAGCCTGATAATTTGACATTGGAACATTAATTAAAATTAGATCTTGACCGATCCTGTCTGCATGTCAGAGAATTAAAAATGAAGTACTTGTAGTACTGCTCCGTATTTGTATAGCACCTTTCTAGTCTTTTCTACCACTCAAAGCGCTTTTACCAGTCACACATATTCATACACTGAGCCTAAGTGCTCAAACGGAAACTAGCATTTACACTCATTCATTCAGTATCTTGCCCAATGACACTTCGACACGCAACCAGGGATCGAACCGCCGACCTTCCGATTAACGGCCAACTCGCTGTGCTGCTGTGCCTTGTGAGTAAATGCACACTGCGTCTCTGAGGAGAGGCTTCCCACTTTTTCACCCAGCTGCTGTTCACAATGTTTATGACCCTGCCTGCCTAATTACACACCATATTCTACATTAAAAACATCAGAGGATCAAGGAGGTGAGCAGGTACAAAAGTGAAATTCATGCATAATGAATAATAAAATAAAGTGATCTGATGTTCCACTTAAAATTGGTCTTGTGTTTTTAGCTCTGTCTTTCGGCAGTTTATTTATCCAATGTATTTCATCCACAGACCAGGAGTTGAAGTGGAAATACGTCCAAAAAAGTCATTCATTTAAGTGAGGTTCAGATAACATAACTCACATTTTGCTGATGAAAAGATGACCAATGAACAATTACTATGAGTACAAATCAAAGAAATATAATGCTTCTCTTGTCATTACCATACCTCGGTATTTTTCTATTTGATATATGCAAGCAATGTTACATATGTGGAAAACGTTTATTTTTAGCAGCAGTTGTTGAACATACTCGCGGAAGAGGACAAACACTTAATAGTATTTTATAGAAGCTGTGGTTTTTGAAAGTCACAGAATTGTTTTCACAGCGTGACAAGGTGGTGGACTGTTACCTCACAGCCAGAAGGTTGTTGGTTTTGTGGAATTTTTCATGCTCTTCCTATGCATTAATTGTGTGTCTCTATGTCAGCCCTGTGAATGTACAAGTAATTCACCTTGAGGCATGAGTTTGTGCTGTACTTCAGTACTGTTTCCTTAATGTCTGCTTATTTTAGGCTACTGTATAGAATTCCTGCTGATAAAGGCATAAAGGAGTTCTTAAACTGATGAAATTTACACAGCTGCCTAAGAATAAAAGTCAATACTGAGAATGCTGAATATGGGACTGATCACATAGTATTCTTATTTCCTGTATAAGCATGCACTGGTCAATAAGAGACTTATGATGATCATTCTGATCATTCCTTTTAAGAGGCAGAAACCTCGAGCAGAACCATGGCTCAGGGTGGGCGGCCATCTGCCTCAACTGGTTGGGGGTGAGAGAGAGAGAGAGGGCAAGAGAGGAACAGAGAGAAAGAGTGAAAGGGATGGAAGGAGAGAAAGACGGAGGGAGGCAGCCTACACAACATACACATGGAGGTACAGACAGTAAAGGTAATGTTGCTATAGCCTGAATGAATGATGGTACAGATTTTTATAGTAGTGTTAATGATAATAATCGTAATGTTAATGATTATAATAACAATAATAACAATAGGACTAGTAACAATAATTGGAACAGAGGGTGTCGAGCAGGAACACGGGGGCAGCAGGTGACTCAGAACCACAGATCCAGACGCCACAGCTCGAGAGCCAGAAACTAGTCATTCTGGGAGCGCAGTGCTCTGGTGGGGTAGTAAGGTACTATGAGCTCTTTAAGATAAGATGGTGCCTGACCATTAAGAGCTTTGTAGGTGAGAAGAATGATTTTAAATTCTATTCTGGATTTTACTAGAAGCCAATGCAAAGAAGCTAAAACAGGAGAAATGTGATCTCTTTTCCTGGTTCCTGTCAAAACACGTGCTGCAGCATTCTGGATCAGCTGAAGAGTCTTAATGGACTTTTTTGAGCAGCCTGATAATAAGGAGTTGCAGTAATCCAGCCTAGAAGTAACAAATGCATGGACTAGTTTTTCTGCATCATTTTTAGACAGGATGTTGCTGATTTTGCAATATTACGTAGGTGAAAAAATAAGGCGTTCTTGAAATTTGCTTAATGTGAGACTTAAACAACATGTCCTGATCAAAGATAACTCCAAGTTCCCCTTCGAGGGAACTCGAACTGCATCGGTGACGACACTATGGGAACGCCTCTGGGCGTGGCAGGGCTGAAATCATGAATGAAACTACTCCAAACCTATTTGCGTTGCTAGAACGGTAGTGTGTGACGGCGTAACTAGAGGTGTATATAAGCACGCAGGCACTCTGACATGCCCTGTGTGTTTCCTGTCTGGGGATGCCGCATGCCCAGGCAGCTCTCGAGGGGGCTGCTTGCGTCCATTACGAGGCCCTGCTCCTGAGGGTGCGTTCTCCCCGTGGCTCGGGCCCGGTGGTCGCTGAGGCGGTGTGGCTCCCTTGTGGCAGCTAAGGCAGCAGGCGCTGTTATCCCGCCTGGTCAACATTCGGGACGCGCTAGCCCCCAGCGAGCACGTCCATTGCCCACCCGTCGTCTGCACGTGTCGGGTCCATTTTGTCCTCGGTCACCAGAGTGAAGCTAGGCCGCACCATCACTGTGAAACACTTTCAGAGGGTGTTGGGTCTCATGGCGGCAGCGTCCAGCGTAATCCTGTCTCGCCTGCTGCACATGAGAGCCCTGCAGTGGTCGTTAAAATCCATGGGATTCTCCAGGAGGGGAAATCTGTTGCGTCTGATACGGGTTCCGAGCAGGTGCTTGGCAGACGAACGTCGGGGGGAGGAACTCGCACTGGGGTCCGGGTCCAGGGTCCAAAACAAAACACAGGGAATTCAGGGAGGGCTTCAGGACTGGGAAGGGTTAGGGGAACGGGCAGGGCTGAACTGAAGACCTAGGGCTAGACTGGGTGCCAGAGGGTAGAGCTGGGGAACCAGGGAGTACAGACTGACATCCAGAGGGCAGAGCTGGGGAACCAGGGAGTACAGATGGGGTGCCAGAGGGAGGAGCTGGGAGACCAGGGGGTCTTGAGTGCGGACCAGAGGGTTTGGGCGGACGTCCCGAGGGCAGTGCAGAGGGGCCAGGGGGTTCGGGCGGACGTCCCAGGGGCAAAGCAGAGGGACTGGAGGGTCCGGGCGGACTAGGGGAGCCAGGGAGTTCAGGGGGGCGGCCCAGGGACAGAGCAGGGGAGCCAGGGAGGTCCGGGGAGCGGGGTGAGACAAGCCAGAGAGTTCGGGCGGGCGGCCTGAGGGATGGGCTAAAGGGCAAGATGACCTCTCCAGAGGCCGGGAAGCCTGGCAGGGAGCCGGGCGTGGCGACCTCTCCAGAGGCTGGGGTGCCGGGCTAGGGGCTGGCAGTGAGACAGCTGCAGGGGGAGTCAGGGACAAGGCTGCTGGGCTGAGGGCCTTGGTGCGAGGAGGAGGGGTCGGCCGGACCACTGGCGGGGCTGAAGCTGGTCGATCCACTAACAGAACACGAGGAGCAGGGGTCGGGTGGACCACCGGCGGGGCTGAAGCCGGTCGGTCCGCCAACAAGGCATGGGGGCTAGCGGCCCTAAGGGGCAGGGGATCGGGGGGGAGACAGGCTGGGGTTTAACAGCGCTAGCAGGCCGAGGAACAGGCTGGGGGCTAGAGGCGCTAGCAGGTCGGGGATCCAGGACAGGATGGAGGCTAGTGGCGCTAGCAGGCTAAAGGACAGGCTGGGGGCCAGCGGCGCGCTAGCAGGCTGGGGACCTGGACCAAACTGGGGGCTAGCTGGTTGGGGATTAGGAGGGATAGGCTGGAGGCTAGCGGCGCTAGCTGTTTGGGGATCAGGGTCAGACTAGGGCCTAACCGGCTGGGGATCTGGTGATCGTTCTGTTACGTGTGGTGTGGGGACAGAGCCAAATGCAACGTTCGGAGGGAAGGAGGTTTATTGAGGGAAAAAGGGGTAGAGGGACTGGAGTGGAGGGAGAGGTGGATGCCGGGGAAACACAGGCACGGGGAACCGAGGAGACTGGGACCAGGGAGCCGGGGAACACTGAGGCCGAGGAAGCGAGGAGGCGAGGGAGAACAGGGAGGACGCCGTGGGGGAAGTCCGAAGGAGGAGAGGACCAGTGGATGAGCCCAGCCGACTGAACGGAGGACGAGGGTGAGTGAACCTGGGAGGGAAACAGACAGAGAGACAGGGTTAGGGATAACGGAGACAAAGCACAGGGAAAATGTGAGGAAACAAGAAACATGAAAGCCTGAACACAGAGGTGACACCAGGTATGGAGCAATGACGATCAAGCAAGAGTGGTGTGGAGAAAAGGGGATGAAACACAGGCAGGGACGAGGTTGACTACTGGCAGGTGTGGCAGGCTGACGAGGTGGCTGATGAGGTGCAGGTGCGGGTCGTTGCCTAGGCTCAGGAGCAGAGGGAGAGAGAGCACACACAGGGGAGAAAACACAGGGAGGCAGGCAGGGAACAGAAAACCAAGGAAAAAGCAGAATAACTGATAAAAATGACCGTCAGCCCGGGCTGCCACCACAACACAGGCGGAGGCTTCGGTGTGGAATAGTGGGTATTCTCGTTCCCATAGTGTCGTCACCAACACAGTTGGAGTTCCCTCGAAGGGGAACGTCTCGGGTTACGTATGTAACCCTTGTTCCCCGAGAAGGGGAACGAGACACTGCGTCGGTCCGTCACACCTCGCCCCGCCTGTAGTGCCTTGCTTCATAGCAAAGATCTAACGTGTCCGGCGTGCTTATATACGCTTCCAGT